CAGTTTTAAACACAGGGTGTTGTGCATATAAAATAATGGTTTTACTTCTATTTTCTAATACTTCATTCTTTGCCTGTTGCCAAGGTGTCTGTTAATACATGCTGATGTTAGCCAAGATGTAGTGGTGATGTGAGATCATACAGCAAAATGCAAATGGACAGAAGCATGCAGCCTGTGTGTGCCAGGAGCTCATTGTGATATAAAACAGAAAATGTGCTGAGGATGTGGAAAGAAAACAACAAAATATTGGCAGTAATATTTCTTCTCCTGTGTAAACACAATTGTTATACTTTGCTATTCACTATTATTATACAGGCAGTTGTGTGTTGATTTTCTGCCGCCATAAGTCACATTCGTGGCATTGTCTCCCACAGCCCTTCTACCTGTCCGGTACAATGATTCTCAGTCAGCAAACAGCGCCTGTTCAGAGATGATATCTGAGGTAGAGTCTCAGTTCCATAAGCTAGCAAATTAAGCAAATGCCAGGTTTTATTGGCAAAAACAATTAATACAAAATTTGAAAACAGTGAAACTGTATTGCTTGCATGCAGGAAGAAATTTTAATCATGGCTAGTTTTTGAAACTGTGGATCTCTTTATACCAGGTAACTTTGTAATGAAACATTCACACAGTTTTGAAAAACAATTAAGTGGCCCAGGCATAGTGGTATAAGGGTACCTGAACCTTCTCAATCTAATTCTGGTGTCAGTTGTGACACGGACCACTCCACATTAGTCGCATCTTATACACATGAGGGCTTGTGTCATTTTTCAACCCTAAGGGATACTGTGCCAATCTGGCCATCAGCCATGCACATTCTGGCATCACAGATAGGACGCTCATCAAGAACACCTCACTAAAGGGTATTTTAAAGTCCAGATTAACACTGGTACGTTGCTCTATCATGGTTCCTGAATTCCAGAGAGTGCGTTCTTTGTGTTATGATTTATATATCTTTTGACTCCGAATAGTTTGACTATTCTTGATCTCTGTAATCCTAACAATCATATTTGTGTATTTTATGTACTCCTTTGACTTCTGCTGGCAGGGCTGGTGGGGACAAAGACCCACAGAGGGACTGGTGACAACAAAGAGACACAGAGGGACTGGGGACAACAAAGAGACACACAGAGGTGCTTAAGGGGAAGAGACACACAAAGGGGCTTGGGAAGGAAAAAAATAAAAAAGAGACACACAAGGGATCGGAGGACAAAGGCACGAAGGTGCAAGGGGGACAAAGAGACACACAGAAGGTCTAAAGGGACAAAGAGACATACAGAGAGCTTGGGAGGGACAAAGAGAAACACACTCCCTCTGCCCTGCTGACAACTCTCCACTGCAATTTCATCAAGATACAAGCTGAAAGCAATGCTTCCCAGGCAGGTAAGGCTGTATCTGATACTCTGCATATAGAAACTGAACTAAAGAGCTTCGTAGTGACCTCACATAGTAATGTCTTACTTTTAGAACTGCAGTTCTTCCTGACTACATTTCGTATGAGATTCAACCAACTATTTAGCTCTATAAGTCTTTTGAGAAATATAATGTACTTGAACCGAAGAGGCATAAGGATCATAAAGTGTATATATTTTTTTTAGAAAGTAATAACTTGTTTTTGATAAAAATGCAGGTAGGTACGAAACATGTCAATGGTTGTCTTTCTGCCCCCGCCCCAACATATTTATCCTTAGATTATAGCCCTGCAGTCTCCATTTAAAGGTTTGAAGCTCTAGCCACATCTCCCGTATGTGATTCGCACAGCCTCCCTTCCCACTCCCGGGGGAAAAAGGGGTTTACTTTAAAACCTTCTAGCAGAGGGATCACTGTAGATGTAATCTCCTGTTTTACTGACAAGCCTAATTGCATTAGGCTTGTCAGTAAAATCAAAAAATTTAAGAAACCACTGTGGTACTCCGCAGATGTGGCCAAACTAGTAAAAAACTAAAAGCATTTAGTAATTATAAAAAAAACCAGAGTGAGGAAGACAGACAAATCTATAAGATTAGGCAGAACAAGGCTAAGCAAGTTATAAGAGCCTCCAAAGCACACACAGAAGAGAAAATAGCACAGTCAGTAAAAAAGGGGGATAAAACATTTTTTAGATACATAAATGAGAAAAGGAAAGTAAACAAGGATTAGTTAGATTAAAAACAAAAGAAGGAATGTATGTAGAAGAGGATAAAGGTCTAGCTGATTGCCTCAATAAATATTTTTGTTCAGTATTTACAGATCAAAATGAAGGAAAGGGCAAGTTAGGAAAAAGGGCAAATGAGTCATTTGTTACATGAGAGTTTACAGAGGAAGAGGTTCTATTTCAACTGTCAAAAGTAAAGACAAATAAATCAATGGGACCTTATGGAATGCACCCAAAGTTATTAAAAGAACTTACTGGTATACTAGCAAAACCATTAACGGATTTATTTAACCAATCATTGTTAACAGGAGTAGTCCCAGAAGATTGGAAATTAGCGAATGTTGTATCCATTCACAAGAAAAGTAGTAGGGAGGAGTCAGGCAACTATAGGTCAGTAAGCCTTACTTCAGTGGTTGGGAAAGTGATGGAAACCATGTTAAAGGATAGGTTTGTTAAGCATCTAAAATCACATGGATTTCAAGTTCAGAGACAACATGGGTTTACATCAGGAAGATTATGCCAAACTAATCTAATTGATTTTTTTGATTGGGTAACTAAAATTATAGATCATGGTGGTGCAGTAGACATTGCTTACCTAGATTTCAGTAAGGCTTTTGACACTGTTCCACATAGAAGGCTCATCAATAAACTGCAATCTTTAAATGATCACTATAGTGTCAGGAAAACAAAGCGGTTTTCCTGACACTATAGTGCCCGTCTCCTTCCCGTGGCGCTGAAGGGGTTAAAAACCCTTCAGCAGCTTACCTTAATCCAGCGCTGGGCCCCCTCGGTGCTGGTGACCTCTCCTCCCCGTCCGACATCACTGGAGCCGAATGCGCATACGTGGCAAGTGCCGCACGCGCATTCAAATAGTCCATAGGAAAGCATTTATCAATGCTTTCCTATGGAGGCTCTGCGCGATGGAGGCAAAATTTGCGTCCAGCGTCACAGATGTGCCTCTAGTGGCTGTCCAGAAGACAGCCACTAGAGGCTGGATTAACCCCAAATGTAAACATAGCATGTTCTCTGAAACGGTTATATTTAGATGTGAAGGGTTAAAACCTGAGGGACCTGGCACCCAGACCACTTCATTGAGCTGAAGTGGTCTGGGTGACTATAGTGTCCCTTTAAGTTTGGATTCCAATATTGTTGAATGGGTTAGGCAGTGGCTAAATGACAGGCAACAGAGGATTGTAGTCAACAGAGTACTGTATATTCAAAACCAGTGGGGTACCTCAGGGATCTGTACTTGGACCCATTCTCTTTAATATTTTTATTAGTGATATTGCAGAAGGTCTTGATGGTAAGGTATGTCTTTTTGCTGATGATACTAAAATTTGCAACAGGGTTGATGTTCCAGGAGGGATAAGCCAAATGGAAAATGATTTAGAAAAATGGTGAGAGCTGTGGCAACTGACATTTAAAGTGCAAGATTTGATACCCTACTAACCTCAACATCTGAGGAAAGACATTTAGGAGTAATTATTTCTGATGACTTAAAGGTAGGCAGACAGACAATGTAATAGAGCAGCAGGAAATGCTAGCAGAATGCTTGGTTGTATAGGGAGAGGTATTAGCAGTAGAAAGAAGGAAGTGCTCATGCCATTGTACAGAACACTGGTCAGACCTCACTTGGAGTATTGTATGCAGTACTGGAGACCGTAGCTCCAGAAGGATATTGATACTTTGGAAAGAGTTCAAAGAAGGGCTACTAAACTGGTTCATGGATTGCAGGATAAAACTTACCAGGAAAGGTTAAAGGATCTTAACATGTATAGCTTGGAGGAAAGACGAGACAGGGGTATATGATAGAAACATTTAAATATATAAAGGGAATCAACACAGTAAAGGAGGAGACTATATTTAAAAGAAGAAAAACTACCACAACAAGAGGACAGTCTTAAATTAGAGGGGCAAAGGTTTAAAAATAATATCAGGAAGTATTACTTTACTGAGAGGGTAGTGGATGCATGGAATAGCCTTCCAGCTGAAGTGGTAGAGGTTAACACAGCGAGGGAGTTTAAGCATGTATGGGATAGGCCATAAAGCCAGGTACTAATTAAAAGTATTTTGAAAAATTGGGCAGACTAGATGGGCCAAATGGTTCTTATCTGCCGTCACATTCTATGTTTAAAAAAATATTTCCTAGATATACCCCAGTGAAAACATGCATGCTTTTTGTCATTGGGTGTATATCTAAAAACAGCTCACAAAATCTGCAGATCTCTTATCTGAGCCTTGCAAGTCCTCCCCTTCTTCTACAGCCCTCCGTACAATTTCAAACTTCCCACAATGCAGCTCATTAACAGGTGTTTGCCAGACAGGTGATGAGATTTAATTGCCTACTACTTGAGTTTAGCTCTACCGAGCTAAACAAACCAGGAAGAAACAGGACTGGTTGTCTGATTGACAGCCTGGAAGGTAAGGTGGTAACTATTTTAGTTTACAAAAGTGCCAATTTCTATTGAAATTTGAACTTTGTAAATTGAAAATACAAAAATATGGTTTTATCTTGAGAAGTTTGTCTTGGGCTCACACAAAGCATTTTGGCAAGCTAGAGTGCTTTAGGTATTTAGAGTATTCATTTAAAAACAAATCTGCACTTGCTTTTAACCTAGAATTTCTCTTGAAGCAGTAAAAGAGAAGTAGAGAACTCAAATGGCACATAATATTGAGGCAAGGAGTAAATCATCAGAAGAAGAATCCATATTTATGGCCAACAGCTTGTCACAAAATTTAAAAACAGATCAAAGCACCAACAAACATTTTGCCTATACTACATCATTTGAAACATATTTATAGAATCTCAAGATCAGACATATAATTTTGTTTACACATCACAAAAAAGCAACAATTTCATTAAATAAATTTATTTGTTAAAATAATTTAACTCCAAATACAACCGTCGAGTATGCATTGAATTCTATGTACATTTTTTATTAGAACAGAAAAGTTAAAAATGTAAGCAAACAACATTTTACAAAACATTTTGTCCCCAAATGTGATAAATACTTCTTTATGTAGATCCAAGAAATGTTTTAGAGACATTGCAAATCCAAATATGTACTTTGTTATAAAATGTAATGCCGGTTCCAGATGCAGAACTCAAAGTTGTATTTCCCATACGTAGCCAATGGTTTGTCAAAGCTTGCAGTGTGCTTTTCTCCTGCCATTTCATAGGAACCACACACCTAAACTACACTTAGGTGAGAAAGAACTTCAGGCTACAAAAAGAAAGCCACAGTCTGCAAGCAGCAAATTGTACTTAGGGGCAGATAGTGCTACTAGTACTGCACATCGAGGAACAGCATTACATTAGAGGGACATTCAAAGCAGCCACACTTGTTAGATGCAACATGTAGATTAGGTTTCAATTAGTTAAGATGGTATAGCTATCTATGTTGGGTTTTGCTCCATAAGCCAACCCTTTCTGACACACTCTCTCTTATCCAGCATAATTTCCTTTTTTGCTCCAATAATACAGTGTCACCTCATTGCTTATAGCGGTTATGTGCTGAAGGTGTGCACAGTAAAGATTTCTGGTTGTTGTAGTTCAGCAGTCCCTGTAATGTTCCCGTAAAGCACTGCTGTGCAGGAAGTTATGATATCTGCTCAACATCCTCATAGAAAGTTATGGCAGCATCATGATTAAGTCACTTCCTGGACTGGGTAGAAATTACTGCAGAAGCTGCAAAGCCTTGGCATTTACAGGAAATCCAGGACTATCAAACACGAGTATACTTTTAATTAAATTATTTTTGCATGTATTGTTAAAACATTATATTGTAGAGTGTCCCTTTAAAGGGACACTATAGTCACCTAAACAACTTTAGCTTACTGAAGCAGTTTTGGTGTATAGAACATGCCCCTGCAGCCTCACTGCTCAATCCTCTGCCATTTAGGACTTAAATCCCTTTGTTTATGAACCCTAGTCACACCACCCTGCATGTGACTTGCACAGCCTTCCATAAATACTTCCTGTAAAGAGAGCCCTATTTAGGCTTTCTTTATTGCAAGATCTGTTTAATTAAGATTTTCTTATCCCCTGCTATATTAATAGCTTGCTAGACCCTGCAAGAGCCTCCTGTATGTGATTAAATTTCAATTTAGAGATTGAGATACAATTATTTAAGGTAAATTACATCTGTTTGAAAGTGAAACCAGTTTTTTTTCATGCAGGCTCTGTCAATCATAGCCAGGGGAGGTGTGGCTAGGGCTGCATAAACCAAAACCAAAATGATTTAACTCCTAAATGACAGTGAATTGAGCAGTGAAATTGCAGGGGAATGATCTATACACTAAAACTGCTTTATTTAGCTAAAGTAATTTAGGAGACTATAGTGTTCCTTTAACCCCTTAAGGACCAAACTTCTGGAATAAAAGGGAATCATGACATGTGTCCTTAAAGGGTTAAGCATGTGCATTACAAAATGTACATTATTGGTATGGTTTGCAGAATTGTGAGATGACCAAAGGAGGACACACACATAAAGGGAAATTATATTTAATTCATTACTTTTGTCACTGAGCCAAGTCACTGGAAGATTAATAAAAAGTTACCTTATTAAGGTGCATGAGACCAATCACACCACCACCTATCACACAGCAACAGATAACCCTCCTTTATAACCAGAATTAAAACACCATGTTTTGCCCTAACTCAGTTTACTCTCTTAAACAAGCAGGAATATTTCCCTGCTCCACTACAAACTGCTAAGTGTATCAAAACACAATGAAACAAGATATATTAAAGAGAACATCTAAGATTATTTTACATTCTTTCCCTAGAGATATGTTGGTAAATTTCAGGTATTAGGGTTACGCAATGGTCAAAGAAAACCAGGCTTTACTTTTGAAATACTTGCACTAATCTAAGAGCTGTAACACAGATATAGACCTTAATCACACTATTAGATGGTCTATATAGAAAGCACATATAGGACCCACTGGCACTCAAATGTTAGTTATAGCTTTAAGAACCAAAACTACATATTTTGGCTCAATTTCTTCATGACATTTGCCTCCTTGCAAGCCTGTCCTTAAAATGAACACTCACAGTACTATAGCCACTACAGCGTGATATAAGTAGTCAAACCATTTGCTAACAGCTTGACAAGTTACCTGGGGTCTGCTGGTTACCTCCACTGGAAAAGCCAGAAGCTCTCTGCACTAAGACTAGTAATGCAAGAGTGACTGGTACCTGGTAAACCCAAGGTAAGTTTTTTTTTAAATCACTAGCAAACAGTGTGACAACATACATGGTGTGGGGGTGCTATGACATTCTGAGCACCATAACCACTTTCATTTATTTGAATAATGAATAAACAATAGTGCAGCAGATAGCTCACAATTAAAACCGAGGTACATCAATTAAACATGCTCATTAAGACACTTATAGAAGGGAAGCAGTCATTTGATAGCTACATAAGATTAAGTGGTTATAGTACATAGTGTGACACTATGTATTTAAAGGGACACCACGGTCTCCATTACAACTTCTAAATTATGTTATTATGTCAGGAGGTCCCTAGACGCACTCTTACATTAAGGGGATAAATCGCTCTCAACAGCTTAATCCCAAAGAGTGCCTCCAGCACCGATTTGCACCCAGGCACCACCAGGCTCCTTAATCTCGGCTTCAGAATGTGCAGAGTGCTGCTGATTGGCTTAGAGCCTCAGCTAAAATGGACTTATAGCGGCTCTGTCACTAAAACTAAGCTTATCTAATCTGCTTCTATATAGTTCCCAGTGTAAGAATCTTAATTCTTTTTCTGAGTGCTCTAGTTTTCATAAGAAACAAAAAAGTAGAGACTACTTTTCCTTATGACTAGCAGTCAAGTCGACAAAACTTGACAATGGGTGGAACTTGAAACGAGGTTTTGTTTCAGTTGCCAATCAAATTTACCCACAATCCATTAGTTAAATCCCACAGAAGGGCAAACAGCAGAAATCATGGGGAGAGAAGAACAAAATTGCCAATAAGACCCCGCCCAAGGAAGAAATAATATAAATAAAGGCCATTAGTAAGGGAGAGAGTATAACCATTAAGATCCAGAGGGCATAAGGAAAGGAAAACCAGATGTGCTAGGACAACATTAATATGGGGTGTCCTGCTTGAAAAATAGGTTTGTAAAACTTAATGTACATTTGTGTATATACACACACACCTCGATTAATCTTGTTTCACCATTGGGTATAGGAATGTGTGACGTGTAGTTTAAAATATCAATTTTTAGGCTACAACTCCATTCAACAAATGGAAAGAATGTTTAACAATTCCCAATATCAACAGAACAGAGACTGATTCAGTTGTGGGTGCGGAAGCATCATCTGGTGCCTGTCAAGGAGACAACCACTGAAGTGTGTGTTTAGCACAACAATGTAAACGCTGCCGTATTGCCAAAATACCAGGGTCACTGCCCACAGACAACTTCATTGAGATGAAGTGGTCTGGGGGCCTATAGTGTCCTTTTAACAGTAGACCAAAAACCAGGAAGCATCACATGCAGCCTACTAGCACTATAACAAGTAGAACAGCACGTAGTGGCAAAACTGCCCCTTTTAGGTATCCTAAAAATGGCATATCAAACTCTCACTATATGTCCCCAAACAAATGCATCCTGTTTTAAGTTAAAATAAAGTTCATGCTGCAGAATTTTAAAGGTGAATACTAAAAGGGGAATCATTTTGGAAAAACAAAACATTGCAAGACTTAAACTTTACAGAGTTAAGCAACAATAAAGTGGATCTGTCACATTTTCTTCTTTTTATTGTTTTGCTATGTCCAAATCCCCCGTTTCCTGTTTGGCAGCCCCATTTTTTTTACACTTTAAATAAAGAATATTTGTAAAGTTATACATAAGGAAAAATAGGGACTATTAAACCTGCAGGTTAAGCTCCTTTCAGCGATGCGTCACTTCCAGCGTGTCATCGACCGTCTCTTCAGACACTTGAAGTTCTACTGGAATCGCAGAGGAAGCAGTTTCAAGCTGCCGCCACCTTGGAAATTTCAAGATGGAGACACCAAGACCTGGTGGGACCTACATAATTATTATTATTAGCATTTATATAATGCCAACTTATTCCACATTGCTTTACAATAATAAAAAGGGGGACATTTAACAATAAAGAACAATAGGTAGATGAGGACTCTGCTCAAAAGAGCTTACAATCTAGATTAAGTGAAGTATAAAAACACAATAAGAAGGCCATCAAGGGGTATTGCAACCAAACAACAAGGTGGGAAAGTATCAGAACTAGAATGTGGGAGGGGAGCAAGAGACCGGTTTATGAAATAAAAGTTACTCAGAGAGGCCATGGTGGAAGACCTGGTGGGACCTACATAATTATTATTAGCATTTCTTTAATTCCAACTTATTCCACAATAAAAGTTACTCAGAGAGGCCATGGTGGAAGACCTGGTTGGACCTACATAATTATTATTAGCATTTCTTTAATTCCAACTTATTCCACAATAAAAGTTACTCAGAGAGGCCATGGTGGAAGACCTGGTGGGACCAACATAATTATTATTAGCATTTCTTTAATGCCAACATATTCCACAATAAAAGTTACTCAGAGAGGCCATCAGCCTTTCTGAATAGATTGTTTTTTAGGGACCAATTGAAGAGTCTGATGGGAGTAGGCAGGCTGCTCCAAAGGAAAGGAGCCAACCGCAAGAAGTCCTGCAAGTCTAAGTTAGCAGTAAGAGTGCAAGCAGACTGTAGAAGGTCACCAGCAGAGCGGATAGACCTAGACGGGGCGTGCCTACAAATTAATATAGAAATGTAACAGAGGCTAGAGTTGTTTAGAGCTTTATAGGTAGTATTTTAAATGGATTCCTATAGTGTTCAGAAATTCCTATAGTATTCAGAAATCTAATGTAAGGATTAACAGAGAGGCGAGATGTGAGAGTAACAGGATAGAAAAATCAGCCTGGCAGCAGCATTCATTACGGACTGTAACAAGGCAGTACGGTTTCTGGGGAGACCAGTTAGGAGAGAGTTAGAATAATAAATACCAGAAATTACTAGAGCATTTTGTGCAATAAAGGGGCGAACGCACGCAATGTTTTTAAGGTTGAGTTGGCAGGATGTGGGAAAAGACTGGACGTAAGGCATGAAAGTGAGACCAAAATAAAATGTTAACACCAAGACAGCAAGCTTGCAAGAAAAAGCAGGTCCTATAAAATTTCAGGAAGAGCAAAAAAGGAGGAAAAATAAGAAGCTCAGATTTAGAGAGACTGCATTTATGAGAGGAGAAGGACATCCAGTCAGAGATTGAAGAAAGGCAAGCAGTAACACATTCTAAGACAGCAAGGGAGAGATATCTCTGTGTGTCATTGGCATACAGGTGGTAGCTAAAACTACATGTTTGAGGAGAGGCTGTATAAAAGGGAAACTATGAAGGGACAAAGAAGATAACCTTAGGGAAATCTAAACAACACAGGACAAGGGGAAGAGGTGTTATTAGAAAAGGAGAGGACGAGAACCAGGAGAGGACAGTGTCACAGAGACTGAGAGTGAAGAGTTTGGAAAACAAGGACATGATCAACAGTGTCAAAGGCAGCAAAGAGGTCAAGAAGAATTATTATAAAATATAAGATAAGTAGCACCAGTGCTAGGGCTCTAAATGTAATTTAGAGGATCACTGGATATGAGGGAAAGGTACAAAGGCTGGGGGATTTGGAGCTGTCCGCAGGAAGTTCGGTTTAATTACAGATCCTCTTTATTATCCTAATTAAATAGGAAACTGCAATAATAAAATCATGCTTACCTATACCAAACGCTTTATGAGTATATTAACAATTCCTGCTTTTACATTGTGGCCTGCTTTAGAACGTGCTCATTTGATAATTGTGAATAGATCATAAGTAAATAAAGTAAATGAAATGAAAAATGTGTAATAAATGAAGTAAATAGATGAAAAATGTGCCATATGTAAAAAAGGGAAACATTGTCTCTTTCTTTCCAGCAGTATACGAAAATATGGTAACAGTGGTTCACCTTTCTAAGTGGGCGCATGTCACACTAAGGAGCTGCTCTCAGAGCCCTTAATTTGCTATTCACGCTACTCAATTATAAATATATGTAAAATCTTAATATCTACTCTATACCCACAGTAACTTTATCCCGGGTAGCATAAGATCGGCTTGTACTGACTTCCTCTTTGGTCATATATTATTTTAACTCCTTATGTTCTTTATTTATACAGTGTGCCCCAAATCCATTGGTATAGGCACTGATACAGAATTGTGTCTCTTGATTTCTTCCACATGAATAGAGATCACCTACGAGGCAATATTTGTTGTTACATATGTAATTCCTCACTCCAGCTCCCCCAATGTTAATATTGATATTTAGTCGATATTTTTTGCCATGCTGTTCTGTGTGCCTCCTCACACCAATTAATTTTACTGTATCATCCATGCTGGTATTGTACCTTTTATGTATTACATCAATAAACTTTGAAACTTAAAAAAAAAAAAAAAAAGTTAATATATTGAGGTTACTTTTCATGCAGGATTAGCCTTAAGGTTAGGTATGCATTTGCTATAAACTAATGTTTTAAGGTTCAGTAAAAGGTCTAAGAGAAAACTGCATTCTGAAATCACTGAAAAGCCAGTATAAAACAAACTAATCCAGGATTGAAACGCCCAAATTTGCATACATAAGGCAATGGCTACCTACATATTTTTTTTTTGTAGCATATGAAATGGACAAAAAAGTCTGACTCTGCAAGGTTTGACACTTTTCTTTTCTTTTACACACCCCTACCAATTATCTCAGTAATAAGTGTTCAATTGAGGACAGTATCAATTCAGTTTCCATCCCTTTCTAAGTTGATAAAATGAGTACCATTGAGTTCGTAATAAAGTTAACCCCAAGAAACAGTCTACTTGCTTACATATTTTTAACTCCTCACAATTTACAGTTTTGGGATCAAATGAGCCCAGACAGAATTGATAAGTGCTGCAATAATTATTGAAACTATTGATTAATGGAACTAGATTGATCACAGGTAATAACACTGAGATTAATGCATCATTGGTCTTTTTATGCTGAATATTCAATTGCATGATCTCTGGATATTTGAACTGTTAAATATTTGGGAGGTGAAGTTCTATTGACGATGTTATATGGTTAAAGTGTTAAGAAACATTGTGAAATGCGGATGTAATGAAAATGAATGCGCATATTGCACTTACCTGTGCAATCGGCCAATCACATCTGTGTTTTGTGTTATCCACTTTTACCAAATCCTGATTCCCACAAGTTATACACACGCTTGAATGCATTTTATGCTGCTTGAATAAATATAAAAGACCTTCAAACACATCAAACATTTAAACCTTATGTGCAGTCATTGCATATTCACACATTTACTCATTCACAAGAAAAAGAAAAATACCTAATATATAAAATAGTATGGGCTTATTTTTTCCACAATACACCAGGAATGCGATATTGAATTTGTGATCTAAATAGTAAAACCATACACTTCTGCCAATAAGCTATTAACCACATAACTTGCATTTGTGCACCGTTACCCATGCAACTGAGAAATACTCAAGTATAATAAAAAATAAGTTTCAGAAGATCCAAAACCTTGTCACAGCAACATTCACCTCACAAAAAATGGTCAACATTTCCTCATGTTTAATAAGCATTTTAGACAAACCATAAAGCTAAACAAAACAAAGCCAAAACATTGTTATAATGGAGTTTCAGAAGTATAGATGTCCTTAATTTTCTGCTCTCTCTGAGCCCTAACACAAAGAGCACTAGGATGCAACATTGCTCTTTTCCAAACAAATCAGCCTGTGTGTGTATTAAAAATGCTTCTGGCTTCATTTGAAAAGTGTTTTGTCAGATTGTGTACTTAACATTCATGTGTTAGACATTTATTTCTTGTAAGATTGGAGTATCGTGTAAGAAGAGATACAAGTTTCTGCACATACACACTATTCATCCACCTTAAAACCAAAATAAAAAGGCGCAGAATTCATGTCTTTTTGTCAGATACAATAAAGCTGTGTGGGGGAAATAATATGATATATCTACATAGGTATGATAAACTGAAAGACTATATATATATTTTGAGGATTCCTAAGTTATGTTGTATTTCATGTTGCACTAATTGAACTTCTTATGTACGCAAAATTGAGGATGAGGACATTGGCAACTGCTATAAAAACAATTGCGGTGATTCACATTTCCGGTCATAGGCTTGAAAGTTTGTATAATTTCGCAGATGACAAGGATAAAATATGTTAATTTCGGTTAGCTGTGATAATCAGCACTTGGACAGTGGATGGCTCTGTCAATGCTTTTCTTTGGATGAACCATGTTAAAAAGGAAAAAAAATAAATAAAAGTAGTCTTTATATCCATTGCTGTGAAAATAGTCATGTATAACTAGATTTTGTTTTTCATTTAATCAAACGAACGCTATTGTATATTGCACGCAGAGCAGCAAGGGTCATCCTTATCTGGCTGGGCTGCGTAGTTCATTTGTCTCACAATTTCTGCAAAGAGCTCATCCACCATTGTTTTACTCTTAGCAGAGGTTTCCATGAAAGGACATCCCCAATCTTCTGCTAAGGCTCGACCCTCATTGGATGATACCTCTCTCTCACTTTCCAAATCAACTTTGTTACCAACCAAAATCACAGGAACCTTTTCATATCTGAAACAAAAAAGAAAACACATCAGTGAACATTTATAAAACATTTAGACCACAGAAACTTTATCATATGTATTTATCTGAATTTACATAGGGTTCAACGCACCAAAGGGGACAAAAAAAACCCCAAAAAACTGTGCAGATTTTTTACAAGAGTGAAATGTATGTCGTCCCCCCATTGAGTACAATGATTCCCTATGAGTGTAATTTGATTGGTGCATAGCGGCAAGTGCCGCACATGCGGGTATGGTCCACAATGCTTCTCTATGAGAAGCTAGTGATTGGACCCGAACGATAAGTAACTGGTGACGCGAAAGGGGGTGGGGCGCAATGCCGCGAGGTCAACTAAACAACTGTAAGAAAACCAGGTAAATACTTATTTTAAATGTAAATATTACTAATAAATAATTGGAATGGTGTTTACATATTTTTTAAATACATCTAAAATATAATAAACTGGAAGATAGTACAGTGTTCCTTTAATAGTTTACAGCTGCCTAGATTTCTATTTTAAAACTGCATCTGCATGCAAGATGACTTCAGAAACCGCTTCTATCTGTGAGGCTTTACCAAAAAGAAAATACAGTACAGACTCTAAAGGGACACTACACACTGCAATTACCGTATATACTTGTGTATAAGTCGATCTCATGTATAAGTCGAGTGCAGTTTTGTGACCAAAAATTGTGAAATATGCTATGCCTCGTGGATAAGTCGAGGGTAAAACTTGGGGCTATGAAATTCTGTGATTTTTATAATTATATATACACACACACTCATACAAACACACACTCTGCATTATATATACACACACTCATACAAACACACATTCTGCATTATATATACACACACACTCATACAAACACACATTCTGCATTATATACACACATACACTCATACAAACACACACTCTGCATTATATACACAGACTCTGTGTATATAATGCAGAGTGTGTATATAATGAAGAGTGTGTGTTTGTGTAGTGTGTGTGAACTGGGTGGGGGGAGGGCATTTTTATTATTTTTTTTTTTTATTTTAATATTATTTTTTTATTATTATTATTATTTTAATTTTTTTTTGTCCCCCCTCCCTGCTTGTTAACCGGTCAGGGAGGGGGGCTATCTTAATCCCTGGTGGTCCAGTGGCATGGGCTGTGAAGTGGGGGGCCGGCAGGAAGCATTTACTTACCTTTCCTGCAGCTCCTGTCAGCTCCCTTCTCCTCCGTTCCGGTCAGCTCCACTGTAAGTCTCGCGGTCTGGTTGCCGCGCGGATCGTTGCCACGGCTCTGACGGCCGCGGCTCTCTAAGTTGCCATAATACAGATAGTGACTCGAGTATAAGTCGAGTGGGGGTTTTTAAGCACAAAAAATGTGCTGAAAAACTAGACTTATACTCGAGTATATACTGTACTTCATCTCATTGAAGTAGGGTATAGCGTTTGAAGTCTCCTTGCCTTAACCTGCCATCCTTCCATTCTGCGTTAAACAACATTTGGATGGTTAATCTCTGCATTGAGGGTCCCCTGCAGCTAGCAGCAATGGGCAGGCGTGATTGGTTGAAAGTATCAGCTGTCCACTCTCAGACTATCACAACTACCATGTCATGATATCAATAAAGATAGAGACACCTTCTGTGGGGGCTCGGCTGGGGGCATCCTGGGGCCATCGTTTGGTCTTAGAACCTTGTTGTTACGGTGCCAGGTGAGTTCAGGCACTATGACCACTTCAATTAGTTTTAAGGTTACTTACTTGATGTCTAACTAAAATACTTTAAATTAGTTTGTTGAGCAAATACTTTTTCTGATTCTGATTTATATTTTCAATTACATGCTAACCAAAGTACGCAAACAAGTTAAAGAAACACTCTAACCAACTGAAGTGGTAATGGTACCAGGAGTTCCCTGGCACCATCCCAGGGTATTTAATCAAGTCATTCAGGAATGATTTGACAAGGTACCTGGGGTCCACCAGGTGTGGGTCACTGCCTCTTCCAGAGCCAGAAGCTGCAGCACTGAATGGTGGTCCAAGGTTATTCCAGTGGAGCTAATATAGCATGTCCCTGCAGGCTTTCCAATGTGCCATTTTTCCGCACATGCGCAATAGCCTCCCATTTCTTTCCTATGGAAAAGCATTGGCTTGGCTGAAATCAACAAAATTGCTCAACTCAGCCATGAGAAAAAATCACCTTTTCACTGCAATCTGCGGGGGGCTGGACACGTAAACAGACATTCCAGTACTATAGTGTTAAGAATGCTTGTATTCCTAATACTTTAGTGTTCCTTTAAGGACATCTGTGTCCCTTCTGCCTTCCCCCCATCAGCATACTTGTCAGATCCAATTGCGTAGACTACCTAAAGCGCATGCACAGCGAGTGCCATTATCGCATTAGGACTTACCCATAGGAAAGCAATAAATCAATGACTAAAAGTCTGCTAAGGACCCGGAAGCACCACTAGTGACAGCAACTAGAGATGGAGTTATTGTAGGTTTCTCAATAACTGCAATAATTAGAATTGCAGGTTTAAGGGGACAGGAGCACTGCACCCAGACCACTTTAATGAAATGAAGTGGTCTGGATGCCTATAGTGTCTTTTTATGTGCATTTTGTATAAATGTCGTTTTTTGTTTTTGTTTTTTATACTGCACTGCACTTTAGACATCAACAAGAAAGCAAATTGCCATGTCATGTATGGTCTATTATTTTTCCTGTAAAGACATTAAAATGCTAGCTGCCTAGCTTGAAACCAGACGCCTAGCAACTCTACCAAGTTATGATGAGGAGTGATAATTTAAGCAAGGAGCTTTTTTTGAAAGGCCACTTCTCATTTTATCACAGATTTGTACTTCTAAGTTAAATATATCTAAGGAATAACTAATGAAAACCGAGGGGGGGGGGGAAGAATACATTGCATTATTAGTAAATATTAACATCTAATCACAAAATACACGCATGTACAAATCTTATTTGCATTTTTTCACTTATATACCATCAAAGGCATTTTAATAAAAGCAAAATCCAAAAAAATGATAAAAACACATCACAAAAATATAGCATAAAGTGTATATCTTACCAGGCCAACATAGGAAATTATATACAAAATAAAAAGCAGTAAGAAATTGCCAAAAAATACCTATTAAACTATGAAAAGAACATCAACAAAGAACTGTTCTCTGTTTTAAACTGGGTGCTTCTCAAATATATAAATTTACTGACATTTATGACCCAGTAAGGAACAGGGTCTGTTTGGGTTGAGCACCGTGGAATATTGTCCTGCATATTGTTCGACTGTTGTAAGGAAGTGTCCTCCTTTTCCTTAACGACTGTCTATGCAGGGCTTTAATGCCCAGCAACGGCATACACCATAGGTGTCCAACCTTTTGACTTCCCTGGGCCGCTTAGAGCACAGAGTAATTGTCTTGGGACACACATCAAATATATAGTATAAATAATAATATATAAGGAACATAACTTTAACCTTTTCTTAATTTTGATATTTCATTTGTTTAGTAGAAAACTCCCTATTTATTATCTTTATGTAGGATTGGCATATTTAAGGATATCAAATTATCGAGCTACCTACTAAACACATACACATGTTTATACATATGCACACATAACCACAGATACACACACACACCCCATCACAGACCTCTACACATAATTGCAGACACACATACAATCACAGACCTATACACACATACACACACACACATTTACAGACCTATACAAACAATCACAGATATACCCACACACAATCAGACCCACATACACAAAATCACACACCTATATGCACGCAATCACAGACCCACACACAAAAATCACAGACATATTTACACAATCACAGACCCACACATAAAAGCACAGATTTACGCATACAATCACATGATCACAGATATACACACGACAGACCCCCACACACAATCAGACATATCCATAGAACTCCCCCTCCCACACACAGTCACTAACAAAACATATACAAAATTCACGTACACACACATTTAGTACTACAGAGGTCCACCCAGCCTCCCTACCGTGGGCAGTGGTTGCTGCTGTGCTGGGACCTCTGTGCTCTTCCTGCACAGCTCCCTTGCGCGCCCAGCGATGACAGTGATGCTCATGCCGGGATGACTTCATATCCCGGGGGCCGGTTCACTGCATGGCGCAAGAGCCAGCAGGAGCACAGAACGTAGCGGACACCCTGCCTACCTCGCCTCCCGGCAGCGTGGACGGCAACCGGGCCGCAATGCCCTGGAGTAGATTATCATGCAGAAAATGTACCAGCTAAATCCCTGCTAGTCCCCTCTATCAGCTGGAGCCAGAATTAGTGAGCGTTGCAATCAGGGAATTAAATCCTCATTGTTACAATGTGGTGTGAGCAGAATTAAAACCCTGGTCAACCCAGATAACTCAAGTATCAGTAGAAACTTGGGGCTCCTCTCTGTCAGCTGGGGCCAAATTTCTTCCAACTTGACACAAGTGCCTTTACCCCTTGTGTTATGTTTTTTTAAAATGCCAAATAAGTCTATTATTTCCATTTTTTTTTTTAAGACGTGAACAAATATTTAAAAAAGTGAATGATGGTTTTAAAGCGAAACCCTTGCAAAATTTGGTATGTTGTGATTACAACTTTTACAGTAGCCACATAATCCAAAACCGCTACACAAAAGTATTATATTAGTAGAAAAGTACTTTCTCCAGATTATTTAATTTAAACCTTTTTGACATTTCATTTAACCATTTCATCACGAACCTTAGTCAAAATAATAAAGTGAGTAAACAAAATTTTTAAGGGGAATAAGAGGGTGGAGGGGGGGTCTACTTAAATAGTTAAATACTATAGGGTTATAAATACACGTTTGAATTCCAGACCCTGTAGTGTTCCTTTAATTTTTAATTTACTTTGAATTCGTACTCTAGTAAAATAACCCTGGCAGTGCTTTCTTAGAAGCTGCACAGCTGATATGATGTCTGCATCTACCACAAATGGAATAAAACAGAGTGGATACTTGCAGTTTAAAGTTTTGTAGATTGTAGAAATCTGTCCATCAGCCACTGGCCCAAAACCAGCTCAGGCACCATCCGAAGGGTACATTAACAGATTGGATACACCCCCAGAAATAATGGAGAAAAGAGGGAAGAGAGATCACTAATAAGTTCCTCTCTCATTCTCCTAAATGCAGATCTGCATGTAAAAAATACAAGCATTATCGTTAAGATCATTAAGGGCTTGCCACTCTCGCTTAGTCAAATTACCATGGGGGACTAGTTCTAGAGTATTGTCATCAATCTGTTGTATGGCTTTTACCTTCATTTCGACAAATATATAGATCCTACGCTATTCTCTGAAGTTTGGAGTGAAGGTACTTTTTGGTCTTAATTATGTAAATGGTAATGGGTTAATCCTTACATCATTTTCCACTAAAAGATCTACCAAGTCTGTTAAGTAATCGAAATCTTTAACTGAAAAACCTAAACTTTTGGCTTTTTTTCTCCTTTTGGATCTAAAGGTATTTGTGCAAAGCCAGACGTTGTGCAAAAAGGTGGCTGTCCAGTTAAATTTATTAAATGCCGGAACCGGAACAAAGGACAAACCCTTTTCAACTACTAATTCTTGAGTGCTTTGCTTGAGTGTTAACAATTTTTGCACATTTCATTAGGGTCTGTACCTTCTGTCCTGAGATCTTCATTATCTGGTGCGATAGAGATAATTTTTTAAGGATTCAGCCCAGCGGGAAAAAAAAATCAACTCCCTTCTTCAAAATTCCTTTTGGGTTTGAAGTAGTCAGAGAGTTTTGAGAGTGGGAGTGGGCGGAGCATCTTGGGGATACTTTGTACTTAGTGTAGCTTAATAATTCAGTTAGCCTTATTTGGCCTTTATTTTTACTTGAAGCTATTACAGGCAACTGCGTTTATACCTATTGTTTAATTTGAAGTTAGGTAGTATTAGTTCCCTGTTATGGTAGATATTTAGTTGATATACACTTCATACATCCTAGCAAAAAATAAAGGCATTTTCCCATAATTAATAGCACTGTGAGTTTGTAAGTGGTAGTATTTTTTTAAAATATGTCCTCTCCCTGTATATGTTTGCACACGGTTTAATATAATGGTTTATTAAACATAAGGTGATTTCTTATCTCTACCCATCTAAGCATAGAGCAATTATTCACTCAGTCTATATTCTCATAATAAGGGGTTTTCCTATTTTTTGGTCCCCATTTCTAGGGACTCTTTGTCTGCTTACATACAACATTAAGGTTACTTGGAGAATTCATCCTTGTATAAGACACATTTTCTTCTTTCAGTTTCTGTTAATCACTGTAAAGTTAAGAATGTAAAGGCCCCTTCAGGGCTGGTGAGTCTCATAGGCGACTTAGGCAGGGTGCACCGGACTGGGAGGGGATGGGGAGAACGCGCCAGATTTGAGTGACCTGGCAGGAAGGAAGCGCACAGCGCTCCCTCCTGCCAGTCACTCAGTGTAGTGTGGCCGGGCAGGGACAATGAAGAGGAGAGACCACTAAGGGATGGGGGGAGGTTTAAGGGACAGGATGCAGGAAGAGCACCAAGGTACACGGGGGGCAGAGTAGAGCGCTAAAGGACAGGTGGGGAGGGGAGATCACTAAGGGTCAGGGGGCAGGGTAGAGCACTAAGGGACGGGGAAAGAGAGATCACTAAGGGACAGGACGGAATAGAATAGTTCTCTGGGACAGAATGGGAGACCTCTAATGGACAGGGTGGCGTGAAAGAGATCATTAAGGGGCAGTGTAAGACACACAGAGAGGTTGAGGAAGGGGTGAAAGAGGGACCTAGGGGTGGGAGGGGAAAGACACACAGAGGGCCTGCGGTTAAAAGAGACATGCAAAGGGGTTGGGAGGATGTAGGAGACATACAAAGAGAGGAACGGGATAAGAGACACACAAGGGGCTTGTAAGAGATACACTAAAGTGGGTGTAAGACAAAAAAAACTTTAAGAAAAGAAAAAATATTAAAATAAAAATAAAAGCTTCTCCCCTCTCAGCCTCTATTCTACCCCACAAATGGATGGGGCATTGTGATGTCACATGGTGGGCGGCAAATTATTGTTTGCCTAGGGCAGCACAAATACTTGCACCGGCATTGGGCCCCTTACTACCACTTAGTAAAATTTAAATCAGAGATCATATTACTGGAGATCACTGCACAATCATGCAATAGGATGACCATTTTAGTGCATTTTATAATACCTGGCTAGAACAGAAATTTTTAGCACCGTCTCTAGCAATCAAATTCATCTCAATTTAAAGGGAAACTATAGTCACCTGAACAACTTCAGCTTAATGAGGTTGTTCAGATGAGAACTATAGCTCCCTGCAGCCTCTCATGTAAACACTGTATCTAACAGCATGGAGATTTACAGCTTCTGGCTTGAATACAGTAAGATTTTTACTATATTTATGGAGGCATGAGGGGCCCAGGGAGGCTAGATTGTCATGCAGCCATTTAGTAGATCATGCATCTTGCAGCCATTTAGTAGATAGGCCCCTAAATCCCACAAGTATTAGATAGCTATCAACTAAAAAGCTTAAAGACCAAAATTCAGACAACTTTATAAATACTAAGTAAAAAAATACTTTGTAAATAAGGGAGGATACAATCTCCCTCCTGCCCCTACTCGCTGTGAAGTGGAGAAGGGTATGTCTACTAAACAGTGAGCAGTCAGTATAAAAATTAAAAAAAAAAAAAGACCCCCATCCCCAATCTAATAAAGGAGGACCTGGCACAGGAAAAGATTTACTGCTCTATGAAACTTTTTATGGGGTTTTGGAAAATTACATAGTCAAATATAAAGCTTGCAATTTTTTTTCTCTGGAATTTCTGCCTGGGTTGTGAGCCAGGTCACCCAATATAAAATAAATTAATACACTTAGAGTAAAAAATAAAATAAAAAATCTATAATTTCATTGTATCTGTGTAAATAAGTATGACTTATAATAATGAGATTTTATTAATTACATATTGGGGGATGTGCCAGACAACCGAGGTAATCAAGACAAACTGAGTCATGTGTTATTACCATAGTGTGCACCTGTGCAAGACACAGAGACAAAAAAGGCATCACCACAGTTGTGATTGCATGTGCCCTAGTACACTATATATTTTATATACTATAATGTACTCGGAGTTGCCTTATAAAGCTAAATTCAGTGGATGGGTTATGCCAGCTGCAATATTTTCAGGATGCCAGTCTGCGATCTTTGTGACTGAATCAGAGTATTTCCATGGTAACCTAGATGCAGCACTCTAATTCCATAAAAAAAAGTGCCGGCCCATGAGGGAACCGACACCGGGCCAGAGTGGAGGACCTTTAGAATTGGATGCAGGGCATCCCCTCCACACACCCCTTATGGGTACACATACAATGGGTTGAGAACCAGGGCTTTAGATGATGCTGTAAAGGAACACAAGCACTACAGCAGTCTGTAGTGGTTATGTTGCCAGGAGTACCCTACATTGTAAGTAGTTAAATCAGTCAAATCTCCCCCCTCCACCCCCCCCCCGCCCCTTCGGAGCTGCTCCCTGCCTTCACTATTAACACCAGAAACCCTAAGCAGGAGTTTTCTTTAGCCAAGGTCATGCACTGTAGGGATAGCGAACTAGCTGAAAGAGCAGCAAGCTTCTGTCAGAAGTAGTGAATGCAGAGAGCAGCACCTAGTAAGCACCAGGTAAGACGTTGAACAGCTCTAATATGGTTAGATTACTTACAATGCAGGGGGCACCATAACCATGCTGTATAGGTCATGGTTCTTGACGTATTCCTTTACGAAAACATAAATAAATCAACTTCTACTTACCTTTCACTTTAATGTCTACAGCAGCTTTTAGACTCTGAAAAGGTTGTGCCCAAACCTGGTCCTCCAGTGCTTCCACTGTGGAAGAGCTTGGTATATGCATGACAGCTTCCAATTCAATTAATATAAAATGAGTAGAAGTAATCTGCATTTATTCACACATGATTTTTTATTTTAATCAATGGGATCAGAAGCCATTTATCTTTATTTTTGCATACATTTTACCATCATATTTATGCATGCATTTTACTATCATACACTCATTTGGTAATGGACGAGAAATACACAAGAAAGGCAGGGATCTGGCATAATGCTCTTCTAAAAGAATGCACCATGCAGATACATACATTAGTATGACTTACATGATGCACTGAAAGCCTAGTCAATACCACCAAATAAAATAAATATCTATTTATATATTTTAACCATTATGTCAGTATTTGACGGTCTAATGCTTTCCTATGGGATTTTGGGTGTTGCTGGATGTCCTCGTGCATGACGCGAGTACGTCCAGCGACCCGCAAGTTCCTCTAGTGGCTGTCTGGTAGTCAGCCACTAGAGGTGGAGTTAACACTCAAAGGCAATTATTGGAGTTTAAAGTGGACACTGCACCCAGTCCACTTTAATGCATTGAAGAGGTCTGGGTGCCTATAGTGTCCCTTTAAGACTTACATTCTACAAATGTGTTAGCAATATAAATGAACACGCTTTGCTGGAAACTGTTTATTAAAATCCATGCAAGATCCTCCTTCTTACAGCCATGCTTTGAAGGCTTTTTCAAAGTTCCAAAATAACAAATATCATCCCGTTTCTAGGCAGCAAGACAGACATCATCACACTTATTGACAGCATCTTACTCAAGAGCCTCATAAAACATTTTTTAGATACATAAATGAGAAAAGAAAAGTAAAACAAGGATTAGTTAGATTAAAAACAAAAGAAGGAAGGTATGTAGAAGAGGATAAAGGTCAGGCTGACTGCCTCAATGAATATTTTTGTTCTGTATTTACAGAAGAAAATGAAGGAAAGGGACCTCAGTTGAGAAAAAGGATAAATGAGTCATTTATTACACGTGAGTTTACAGAGGAAGAGGTTCTATTTCAACTGTCAAAAGTAAAGACAAATAAGTCAATGGGACCTGATGGAATACACCCAAAGCTATTACAAGAGCTTAGTGGTGTACTAGCAAAACCATTAACAGATTTATTTAACCAATCATTGTTAACAGGAGTAGTCCCAGAAGATTGGAAGTTAGCGAATGTTGTGCCCATTTACAAGAAAGATAATAGGGAGGAGTCGGGCAACTATAGGCCAGTAAGCCTTACTTCAGTAGTGGGGAAAGTGATGGAAACCATGTTAAAGGATAGGATTGATGAACATCTAAAAACACATGAATTTCAAGATCAGAGACAACATGGGTTTACTTCAGGGAGATCATGCCAAACTAATCTTATTGATTTTTTTGATTGGGTAACTAAAATTATAGATCAGTGTGGTGCAGTAGACATTGCTTACCTAGATTTCAGTAAGGCTTTTGACACTGTTGCACATAGAAGGCTTATCAATAAGCTGCAATCTTTAAGTTTGGATTCCAATATTGTTGAATGGGTAAGGCAGTGGCTGAGTGACAGGCAACAGAGGGTTGTAGTTAATGGAATATATTGAAGCTTGGACTTGTCAACAGTGGGGTACCTCAGGGATCTGTACTTGGACCCATTCTCTTTAATATTTTTATTAGTGATATTGCAGAAGGTCTTGATGGTAAGGTATGTCTTTTTGCTGATGATACTACGATATGTAACAGGGTTGATATTCCAGGAGGGATAAGCCAAATGACAAATGATTTAGGTAAACTAGAAAAATGGTCAGAATTGTGGCAACTGACATTTAATGTGGATAAGTGCAAGATAATGCATCTTGGACGTAAAAACCTAAGGGCAGAGTACAGAATATTTGATAAGAGTTCTAACCTCAACATATGAGGAAAGGGATTTAGGGGTGATTATTTCTGATGACTTAAAGGTAGGCAGACAATGTAATAGAGCAGCAGGACATGCTAGCAGAATGCTTGGTTGTATAGGGAGAGGTATTAGCAGTAGGAAGAGGGAAGTGCTCATGCCATTGTACAGAACACTGGTGAGACCTCACTTGGAGTATTGTACACAGTACTGGAGACCGTATCTTCAGAAGGATATTGATACCTTAGAGAGAGTTCAGAGAAGGGCTACCAAACTGGTTCATGGATTGCAGGATAAAACTTACCAGGAAAGGTTAAAGGATCTTAACATGTATAGCTTGGAGGAAAGACGAGACAGGGGGGATATGATAGAAACATTTAAATATATAAAGGGAATCAACACAGTAAAGGAGGAGACTATATTTAAAAGAAGAAAAAACTACCACAACAAGAGGACATAGTCTTAAATTAGAGGGACAAAAGGTTTAAAAATAATATCAGGAAGTATTACTTTACTGAGAGGGTAGTGGATGCATGGAATAGCCTTCCAGCTGAAGTGGTAGAGGTTAACACAGTAAAGGAGTTTAAGCATGCGTGGGATAGGCATAAGGCTATCCTAACTATAAGATAAGACTAGGGACTAATGAAAGTATTTAAAAAAATTGGGCAGACTAGATGGGCCGAATGGTTCTTATCTGCCGTCACATTCTATGTTTCTATGTTAGACTGGTGGGTTTTCCATGACAGGTAAGCAGTTTTTAAATTAATAAAAATTAATAAAAATTAATATAGCTAATTTGCCTTTATCATTATTAATTTATCTTATTTTGTGAATGTACTCTATAATAGCATCTACTGAAAAAATGGAGCAAGAAAATCTAAACTGAGGAATAAAACAGTAATAGGAAGAGATCTGGTACACTATAAAAAGGAGGGGAAAAAGCCACCAATATATAAAGAATGTACAGTTTCAGATATAAGAAGATGGTGCAATTGTGCATGTACACAAAACCAGTGCAAACATTAAAGTGAATACAACATGTATCATACATAACCTGTAGTCACCACATTTTACAATAACCAGTAGGACTACTCTTCAACGAGTAGTAAAGACTGCTCAGTATTGGTGCTCAACTCCCATCAATTCAAGAAATTACAACAAACACTGTGCCCAGAGAATAAGAGGAACCATTAAGGACACATTTCATCCTAATTAGGGATTATTCAATCTTCTTCCATCAGTGAAACGTTAGAGGAGTCTGCATTGTTGGACGCGGAGGTTTGGGAATAGATTTGTTCCCTCTGCGTTGATGCCTTTGAATTAAATTTATAGGCAATAGTTTATTAAGAATATAATTGTATTACAATTTACTTATAATGGTATATTGCTTATTTGCCTAGGAGGATACATTAGGCTTGCACAGATCCTTTGTATACGGATTTGTAATCTGCACTTTTAGGAGTAATATGTAATTAGCACTTTAAGTATATGGCATTATGCCACGTTTGCACTTACGCACATGGTTGAAGTGATCACGTCTTGCACCTTTATGCACATGATGATTGTGCGCACACTTGCACTTATGCAAATGACCGATGCGAGTGCATAAAGGTGCAAAACACAATCACATTTCGAGCTTTATATTTCATCATTACGTATGTTTTTGCACATGATTTATGTGCTCACATCTTGCACATTACCATATGTGCTAATTTTTTGCACTTTATGTATGTGGCCTTTGTACTCACGTTAAGCAATTTATGTTAATGATCAGTGTGCTGCCTATTGTGATGTGTATTAGAAATGTGATATGTGTTCAATTTTTTCTTTTTCACATGATAAATGGATATTGGTGAGGATTGGGTAATTTATTTGCACTAGATGTATTAACTGTATGGTAGTTTAGCATGCTTATTGCACAGGTAGGATAGTTTAGTTTTTTGGATAGATATTTTACTTATATTGGGGGCTATAAGTTGTATTGTTGAATTTGTACATGGTACTATTGTATAATGTCAATGTTTTATCAGGCCGTTAAAACTTTATAAATGAAGAAGGGACTTTATTTCTCATGTAGTAGAGGTACTATGACATTAGGTATAGACTGCTAAATGTTTTTATATAGTATTTTTTCATTTTTTATTAATTGGTGCTGCATTTGCAATTCTACTGGATGACCATACAACTAGTAAATATATTTGGGGGATATGTTCATAGAAATGGGGTTTCCCATTTTCTCTTATTACAAAGAGGTTATGCCTAGTATAGAACAAGTAAAATGCATTATGTTTTTAATCTTGGAGCTTTCTATGTATAAGAATTGACATTGATTAAAAACGGAACGATCGCTGCTAACAAAATACTGTTACTATGTTCTTTTGAAATGCAAAGGATCTGAATAGCCACACAAACCTGTCTAAAAGATGTATAGAAAACCACATAAAAACCACTAGCGTAAAAAGCCTGAAAAATGCCAAGCATATAGAGGAATAAATAAATGAATAAAAGCAGCTTTGGATCACACCACATCCTTTCAAACCTACAATTACAGCTATGAGACATAACCATTTAATGCAACACTCTGTTAGGGACAGAAACCTGGTTTCTGCACAGCTCCCAAAAAACAAACCCCAACGTAACCAGCTATACTCCTACAATGGTTAGACAGGGGGGAAGGAATGCACTCCATCGATGTTCAAGCACTGTAACTCCCACTAGGCTTAGCTACTCTGACAAAGGGCATAGCATCAAGGGAATTGTAGTGCTGCAACAGCTGTGGACGGAGATGCCCTAGCCAGTGTTAGATGGTGATCGCACCGCCCTGCACTCTCCCAACTCTGCATTCTACCCACCTTTCTGTGTGTCCTCGCCCACCCCCAGCATTCTGTTCCCTTCTGTGTGTGTCCCCTGCATTCTGTCCTCCACTCTGTGTTCCTAGCATTCTGTTCCCAGTGTCCCCCTAGCATTCTGTTCTTACTCTGTCGTCCCCCAGCATTCTGTTCCCGCCCGTGTCGTCCCATCCCAGCATCCTGTTCCCCCCCCCGTGTCGTCCCATCCCAGCATCCTGTTCCCCCCCGTGTCGTCCCATCCCAGCATCCTGTTCCCCCCCGTGTCGTCCCATCCCAGCATCCTGTTCCCACTGTGTCGTCCCATCCAAGCATTCTGTTTCCACTCTGTGCCGTCGTCCCCCCCCTGTCCCTCCCTGTCGTCAGCCCCCCAATATTCTGTCTCCGTCATCAGCATCCTGTTGGCCCCCAGTATTCTGTTCCCTCCCGGAGCTTAGGCCCCAGCATTCTGTTCCCCGTATCCACCCCAAGCATTCTGTGTTCTGCAACATTCTGTTCCCTTCTGTGTGTGTCCCCTGCATTCTGTCCTCCACTCTGTGTTCCTAGCATTCTGTTCCCAGTGTCCCCCTAGCATTCTGTTCTTACTCCGTCGTCCCCCAGCATTCTGTTCCCGCCCGTGTCGTTCCACCCCAGCATTCTGTTCCCCCCCCGTGTCGTCCCACCCCAGCATTTTGTTGCCCCTCTGTGTCGTCGTCCCATCCCAGCATCCTGTTCCCCCCGTGTCGTCCCATCCCAGCATCCCGTGTCGTCCCACCCCAGCATCCTGTTCCCCCCGTGTCGTCCCATCCCAGCATTCTGTCCCCCCCCCCAATATTCTGTCCCCCCGGTTGTCAGCCCCCCAATATTCTGTCTCCCCGGTCATCAGCCCCCCAATATTCTGTTCCCCCCTCCCCTGGTCGTTGGCCCCCAGTATTCTGTTCCCTCCCGGAGCTTCGGCCCCCAGCATTCTGTTCCCCCCGTGTCGTCGTCCCACCCCAGCATTCTATTCCCCCGTGTCGCACCCCCAGCATTCTGTTCCCCCGTGTCGCCCCTGCAACATTCTGTTCTCCCCCTATGTCGTCCCACCCCAGCATTCTGTTCACCCCTGTGTCGTCCCACCCCAGCATTCTGTTCCCCCCGTGTCGTCCATCCCAACATCTGTTGCCCCTCTGTGTGTCGTCCCAGCATCTGTTCCCCCCGTGTTGTCCCACCCAGCAGTTCCCCCATTCCCCCCAGCATTCCCCCGTGTCGCACCCCCAGCATTCTGTTCCCCCGTGTCGCCCCTGCAACATTCTGTTCTCCCCCTATGTCGTCCCACCCCAGCATTCTGTTCACCCCTGTGTCGTCCCACCCCAGCATTCTGTTCCCCCCTGTGTCGTCCTATCCCAACATCCTGTTGCCCCTCTGTGTCGTCGTCCCATCCCAGCATCCTGTTCCCCCCGTGTTGTCCCATCCCAGCATCCGATTCCCCCATGTTGTCCTCCCATCCCAGCATTCTGTTCCCCCGTGTCGTCGGCCCCCCAATATTCTGTCCCCCCCCGGTCGTCAGCCCCCAGTATGTGTCCCCCCCCGGTCGTCAGCCCCCAGTATTCTGTTCCCCCTCTGTGTTTTGCCCCAGCGTTCTGTTCCCTCTCTGTGTGTCTCCCAGCTTTCACCTTTGAGCATTCTATCCCCCCCCTCTGTTTTGTCCCTAGCATTATTTCCCTGTGCTCTCCCTCCCGAATTCTGCTTTGGCTCTGGCTTTCCCCCCCTCCCCGTCCCCTTTTCGCCTGCCTTTTGACGCGGATGATCTGGTCCCTCATGGGTTTGATGTCCTGGAAGCTCTGCTGGTTGACCAGGCTGTAGACCAGGATGAAGCCCTGTCCGTTCTTGATGTACAGGTCCCTCATGGAGGCGAACTGCTCGGTGCCGGCCGTGTCCAGAATCTCCAGCACGGAGGGGGACGAGTCCACCTCGATCTCCTTGCGGTAGAAGTCCTCGATGGTCGGGTCGTACTTCTCGATGAAGGTGCCGGTGACGAACTGCACGGTCAGGGCCGACTTGCCCACCCCGCCGCTGCCCAGCACCACCACCTTATACTCGCGCATCGTCCCCCTCCGCTCCCCGGCGGCATGCGACACCTTCCCTCACAGCGACAGCAGGCCCCGCCCGCTCCGCCCCGCGGCTCCCCGGGACATGGGAGAAAGGCCGGGCTGCACGGCCCGCACACCGCCTCCTCCTCCTCCTCTCCCTTGGCGGAGCGGCCGTTACCGCCTCGCCACCCCCACCGGATCGTGCTGCCCCCCTTCCCACCGAGCTGGCGGCACTCGCCCCTCCTCCCACAGCGCATCACATCGCTCCCGCCTTCGCTGTTGGCTCCTTGCATTGTCACCATAGCAACTGCAGGTCCACCCGCCATCAGGGCGGGACACGGGATGGGAGGCAGCCAATCAGTGCTTGCTCTCATTAGGCTGCTGGGAAAAGAGAAGGCGGTGTCAGCCTGTTAAACCAATCCGAATGAGCACGTACTGACCAATCCGTGCGCGCTGTTCTGTCATGACGTCACAGCAAACGCTATATATGCGGCTTGATGCACTCGGCTTTCATTGTCAGTTGTGAGGGAGCGGCTGTATGTCGGGCAGTGCTGCCCATTGTATGTAATGCTGTTTGGACACAGCACATGTATGGTGTGCTAAAAAGACAGAGTACATAAATAGCGGCCATGTTTGGGTGATTTAAAGGGACACAGTGCTGAAGCCACACCACTTCATCTCATTGAAGTGCTTTTAGTGCAATATTAGAGAAACGTTTATATTGCAGCACTAAGACTGCCTCTAGTGGCGGCCTACCAGACAGCCTCGGGCTACCAGACAGCCTCTACAGAGAGCCTCGGGCTACCAGACAGCCTCTACAGAGAGCCTCGGGCTACCAGACAGCCTCGTTACAGAGAGCCTCGGGCTACCAGACAGCCTTGTTACAGACAGCCTCGGGCTACCAGACAGCCTCGTTACAGAGAGCCTCGGGCTACCAGACAGCCTCGTTACAGACAGCCTCGGGCTACCAGACAGCCTCGTTACAGAGAGCCTCGGGCTACCAGACAGCCTCGTTACAAACAGCCTCGGGCTACCAGACAGCCTCGTTACAGACAGCCTCGTTACAGACAGCCTCGGGCTACCAGACAGCCTCGTTACAGACAGCCTCGGGCTACCAGACAGCCTCATTACTAACAGCCTCGGGCTACCAGACAGCCTCGGGCTACCAGACGGCCTCGTTACAGACAGCCTCGGGCTACCAGACAGCCTCGTTACAGACAGCCTTGGGCTACCAGACAGCCTTGTTACAGACAGCCTCGGGCTACCAGACAGCCTCGTTACAGACAGCCTTGTGCTAACAGACAGCCTTGTTACAGACAGCCTCGTTACAGACATTCTTGGGCTTACAGACAGCCTCGTTACAAACAGCCTCGGGCTACCAGACAGCCTCGTTACAGACAGCCTCGGGCTACCAGACAGCCTCGTTACAGACAGCCTCGGGCTACCAGACAGCCTCGTTACAGACAGCCTCGGGCTACCAGACAGCCACGTTACAGACAGCCTCGTTACAGACAGCCTCGGGCTACCAGACAACCTCGTTACAGACAGCCTCGGGCTACCAGACAGCCTTGTTACAGACAGCCTTGTTACAGACAGCCTCGTTACAGACAGCCTCGTTACAGACAGCCTCGTTACAGACAGCCTTGGGCTACCAGACAACTTCGTTACAGACAGCCTCGGGCTACCAGACAGCCTTGTTACAGACAGCCTTGGGCTACCAGACAGCCTTGTTACAGACAGCCTCGTTACAGACAGCCTCGTTACAGACAGCCTCGGGCTACCAGACAGCCTCGTTACAGACAGCCTCGTTACAGACAGCCTTGGGCTTCACAGACAGCCCTGCTAATGCTCAGCCTCGGGCCAATGAGAGACCAGCATAGACAGCCTCTCGGGCTACCAGACAGACCTGATACAGAGACAGCTCATACCAGGTAGCCTCACAGACAGCCTCGTTACAAACAGCCTCGGGCTACCAGACAGCCTCGTTACAGACAGCCTCGGGCTACCAGACAGCCTCGTTACAGACAGCCTCGTGCTAACAGACAGCCTTGTTACAGACAGCCTCGTTACAGACATTCTTGGGCTTACAGACAGCCTCGTTACAAACAGCCTCGGGCTACCAGACAGCCTCGTTACAGACAGCCTCGGGCTACCAGACAGCCTCGTTACAGACAGCCTCGGGCTACCAGACAGCCTCGTTACAGACAGCCTCGGGCTACCAGACAGCCTTGTTACAGACAGCCTTGGGCTACCAGACAGCCTTGTTACAGACAGCCTTGTTACAGACAGCCTCGTTACAGACAGCCTTGTTACAGACAGCCTC